CATGCCCTCCCCAGCTATCAGAGCCAAGAATGTGGGGTTGGGGGGTTTCCATGCAATAATTTCTATATACTAGGAAACTAGACAGTGAGAGGAATCCAATAATGCCAAAATCTTCGCGATCCATATGGTGACATATTCTAGAAAATTACCAAAAAATGTTTCTCCATACATAAATTCTCGCAGTGACACCGATCTTGAGTCACACCTATGATCATTCTTGCTCCCACCCAATTTTCTTTCTCACAGTTATTTGAATACCAACATAATGTAGCACAGCAAGTAAAACAAAGTATCTGTATTTGAAAACAAACATGAACAATCACTCAGTTATCAAGTCACTTCAGAATGTTATTATTAAAAGGGAAAAACTATCATTTATGCTCGCACCATAAATATCCATTGTTTGCACATTGTAGCCCATACATTGTCGTCGCTCACTACGACGCATCCGCATTCTCTTTAAAAATAAGGGAGATCTACACATTCTATCTTGCCAGAATATATAGAGAGTAGTGATAACTTGCATCATCAGTTTTTTATTATTATAACCAATTATTTACCATTTGTAGTAATCTTGTTTTTTGTGTTCTTTATATCCTTACATTAGATTATGTCCTAACTTCAAGATTTAGTGCAATATAATTTTGTCTGTATAATAAACCCTAAGTGCATTCACACCTATATTTCACATATGTTGTGCTAACTTCAATTAATTTATTCAAGTTTCTAATTTATCTTCCAAGCTTTTTTAAGCACATCAAAATAAAGTTTAAATCTTTTGCTATTGTTGCAATGAAAAGTAATGTTCTGTGATAACCAGTATTTTTTTTAAATATTGTGACAACTATATTTATCCCTTTTTTGATAAGAAAAAACTTTAAAGGAGGAAAAGAATTTACATACAATAACTAAAAACACATACATTTTTACTATCAAGGAATGAGTTACGGCACTGGAGTTATTTGTTAGATTAGTTTTCCTTTCCAGACAGATGAGAGTACAGTGTTTAATTTGTGATGTTACAGCAAAGAGACACAACCCTTACTCGATGCTTGGGGATGGCACACCCCAGACTTCAACAATACGATGTACATCAAATATATCTAATGGAAAGTTAACCGGCTTTAGTGATAAGGTTTGTATGTTTTCTTCTGTTTCAGAGCTACATTCATATGTGTGTGTGTCTGTCTGTCTGTCTTTCTGTCTGTCTGTCATTGTGTGTCTTTCTGTCTGTCTGTCAGTGTTAATGTTTATGTCTTTGTCTATGTGTCTTTATGTGCATGTGCTTTTTAAGGCTGTTTTATCAACCCTTTATGGTCTGTACCTACAATAATTCTAATAGTTGTGATAAACTTACTGGAATAGAATTAATAAGGATGTTATGATTAAGGACTTATTGAGTTAGATATTAAACTTCAATATATTTTCTTTGCAGGTTATGTCAAACCTGTTTGCTCTTAAAAGTGAACTTTGTGACCGCAAATTTGAACTAAAAGTAAATGATGTGAGATTTGTAGGTCATCCAGTTCGCCTTAACCCTACAACAACACTTGGTCGACATCAAGACAGAAGAAAACCTTCAACGATTATTCTGTTTAATATTGTTTTTGCTCTGAAAGTGAGTTGAAAGTGCAAGTAAACAACTTCAATATTTTACATCTGGAAATCATATACATTTGTCATATTTATTATATTTTCTGTACCTTTTAGTTGAGAGTGGACCATTTAGGATATTGCACTATTAAATTGTCATTGATTTAGAAAATTCATCTGGGCCACAAGCATCAAAAGTTTCTTTATTGGTAAGGATTTGTATAATGCACTGAAACTTTTCTCTTTTTTCTTTCTTTCATTTACAAAATAGGCAACTCTTAATCATGATGTTGTCAATTGTTACCATGATTTGAGCATGCGGTTAGGCTTGGCCCTGCGTCATGAGGAGTATCGGTGTCAGTTCCTGTCTTCTGAAGCAAGGATAATGCTAGCTGCTCATGATGAGGTAGCTGTTATAAAAGGTTTTGTTTTTGTCTTAATTAAGCTCAGTCCAAAGTATTTTATTTTATATTATTTTCATTCTACCTTTTTATCTGAATAAAAATATTGTTTAGTCTTGATGAATATATATGGTAGTTGAAATATAAATTATTTTAAGAAATATATAATTTGTTAATAGCTTTTATTATTTATTTAATATTTTTAAATGAAATTGACTAAGGTTTTAATGTACTGGAATAAAGTCCCTTCCAAATCCAGGTAGTTCTTTGAAATATTTTTTATTATAGTTCTGACATTCAGTGA